GGTTTGAGTCGTTCGTTCATCACGTGACAGCCCCATAAAGCCCAAACCCGAAGATTTGTCAGATAAGAGGTGGTGAGCTAATCATAGACTGAAGACCCAGGTAAACAATTAATCTTTTCTGTTTCTTATTGCAGTTTTGTATTGTTTGTAGTGTGATCAACGTTTGCGTAAGTAGTAGACATATTAGGGAAGTAACACGTAACATTTTAATTATATTTTGTTAAAATGAACGAAATGACTCGAAAAAAGATTCGTTCATCTTGCTGAACGAGACTCAAAGGTCCGAGTCGGTAAAATGATCCGAACTTCCCATCACTAGTGTCTGCTTTGGTGGCGCAACTGATAAAGTGGGTGTGCTTGTGTCGCAGTGACCCGGGTTTGAATCCAGTCTGTAATGCTTCCTACATTCAATGTTCAAATGTCTGTCCCCAGTGTGTCACTGATGGTCTCTGGGTAAGTGAGTTGCCTGGTATGCTGGGAATGTTAGTAGGCCTAAAAGATGAATTGTAAAGCTGTGCCATAATTTATAAAGATTAATTAATTGCATTAGAAGCACACAATAATGATGCTATTAGCACACTTCAAGTTTACTTTGAATGCCATTACAATGCGTTTTAAAGTTACTAAACGTAAAGGATAGTATGACCTCAGTTTGTTATTAGTATAATATTAATGCACATTTAACACTCTTAAAGTGTAATTGTAATGTCAGCAAAATACATTTGAAGTTTATGCTGAGTGAATTCTGCATTTCAAAACTTATATACAAGAAGGGATATTTAAAGTGTACTTAAATGGTTAGTTCACCCAAAAATGAAAATTAGACTGCGTTTTACTCACCCCCGAGGCATCCTAGGTGTATATGACTTTCTTCTTTCGGACGAATTCAGTTGGAGTTATATTAAAAATGGTCTTTGATCTTTCAAGCTGTTTAATGCCACTCAGCGGGTGTTGCATTGCTTCAGTCCAAAAAAACTTAAATAAAAATCGCCCATCGATAAAAAAAGTGTCTCACACGGCTCCGGGGGGTGAACAAAGGCCTTCTGTACCGAATCGATGCGTTTTTGTAAGAAAAATATCCATATTCAAAATGTAATAATCACTTTAATGTAGCTTGCGCTCACT